AATGTTATCATACGCGTGAAACGAACCTTAAGGCTAGGTATGTCAAGAAGTTATGTATGCACTAGAGGATTCAAGTAGACTAGTAACCGTGCGTACACAGCCTACTTCAATCCATAGATGCGTAATATACTATTTTACATATTTTAGTGTATATTAAGTGTATATTGTAATGTACAATTTTGTCTGTTATAATTTATTCAAAACAATAAATTGTATTTTTTTCTTAGATAAACCATGTATTATACTTTAAATAATACCAAAGAAAAATGTCCAAAATGTGGCATCCATGCAAAAAAAAATAATTGGGCCTAAATATTCATCGAAAATTCTTTTGAGTGTCCTAAGCGATATTCACGTAACACGTTCACTATGTTAGAAAACAGAAAAACTGAGTTTTAGAATATACCGTATGTTTCAGAACAGCAATCACAAAGCCAAGAATTGGTAAGTTCCAGATTGGACTCACAAATATCCTCTGGTTCAGTTGTTGAATACAACATTAAGGTAAAATCTTAAATAAATTACGTTGAGCTACCGTTCCAAAGATCTGTTTCTTCCCACGGTTATTGTTGATTATGCCGTAATCGTTTTGGTGACAGAATTGTTCCTTTTGAAGCAAGAAAACAAGCTTGTACAGAAAGCCATATTTTTATTCGGGAAAATGACTGTTGCTGTCCAAGTTGTTTGATTAAAAAGAGTTTTTTTGAAGATAAAATCCAGAAAACTTGCGTTGTATCTTCCAGAAGTAGATTTGAAATTGAAGAACTTACAAAAATGGTGGATAGTTGGAGTATTTCATGTGATTGATAACTTTCGGATCTGATAAGTGATTTCACACTATCGGAAGAGTGTCTATTCACAACCACAAGTTTACATTGGGAACAGCTTTTTTAACTACGTGAAATGATGACGTCCGTGAGAAACTTGAAAAAAAACCGTTACATAAGCGATAGTAGTTTTTCTCTTTTGATTGCGTACGGAAAACTCAAATCATTTAATTGTTTCTGTTCTTGGACTTAATAGACCCCAGTAGATTTTTGACCATTTGAAGTCTGTACTTAGAGCTTTTGAACATGATGTCGTTTCAACTATGTAAAGTTTAAATAGAAATATTTAACTCGAAAATACAGCACCAATGGCTATAGAATTAAATAATATTCATAATGAATTAGCTTTAGTATGTACCTACCTTAGATATCAAAAAAGTATGAGAATGAATATAAAAGAAAATCATACTCGAGACAAAAAAGTTCCTTTGTACAAGCCATTCAACCATCTGTCTTACAAATGGTTGTATAGTGGACATTATGGGGCCTTATTACGCTATTCAGAATGGTGCTTCTATCCTGCAGGAAATAATAAGTAACAGTAAAGGTTTGGTTCAGATATAATACAAAGGAGACTTGTTTTTTGCTGATAGAGGCTTTTGTGATGTAGTATCATTTTTAGAAGATAAAAAGTATAAAGTCCTTATGCCTGCTCTGAAAGAAAAACAAAACTAGTTCTCAGCTGCTTAATCGAATGGCTCTCGTCGTGTCACACTTAATATATCAGTTCACAGTGTCATATGGATGAAAAATAAGCTTATTCACCAACCTAGTTTGATAGCAAGATAATACCCAATGTAGGACTCTACTACAGAATAGCTGGATTTCTTATAAATCAATTCGGAAAATGGAGCATTTCTTAATAATCTACTAAAGTTACGGTTTTATCTCTTATTAGGCGTTAAAAAAAAAAATACATTAGCTGTTAAAGCTGAAACTCAAAGATGAAACCTAAGGAAACTTCAGTTTCAAAAATTTACACTTGTATGAATTTATTACATACGTAATAATTTTTCCAAAATTCACCGAAGAAAATCTGAAATTATTTGTTACTGGTGCCTATCAATTTTAATAAGTTGTGTCATATCCATCGGAAATTAGGAATAATAAAGATTAAATAGATATAAATTATTTAATCACCAGAGATAATAAAACTCCAGGTACAATCCTGCTATATTTCCAGAAATACCTACAATTTTTACATTCATTACAAGCCAAACACAATTGGATATAGTGGAACTCTTTGATACTGCTGTAAATGTACCAATGACTTGAGAACGATAGTATATTGCTATCACGCTGCTACAATCATATACTATTTATCACATGAACGATTTCAATCAAAAAGTTCAAGACTTGCAGAAAAATTAACAAAAATTTTTGTTTTAAAAATGTATCACCAACGATTAATAAAGACAACGATGATAATTGCAATTAAATTGGCTTTAGTAATTTACTTAGTGAGAAAATTCAATGTTTTTAGCGCCTTTCGTTATCAATGGAAGATTTGTAGAAAAAGAAAATAGCGATCTGTTGGAGGCGAATGTGAAAAACAAATACAACACAGTAATGTATATTTGGCGACGTTTCGCTGGCCAGTGTGCCAGCTTTATCAGGCTAAAGCTAAAAATACAAAAAACGCACTTTTGTGAAAAACCCACAAACGATGTTACACGTACTAAGGTTGACAACAAGGATTACCTATTTTAGACGAATATTAACATTTAAACTGACAAAATTCGCAAGTACAATACATTTAAGATTTATTTAGTTGTTTTGAGAACCACATGTTCTCTCATCGGCGAATAAGTGTAAACTGTTGATCGAGCTGTATGAATCCGCACAGAGAAAGATAAGCACGATAAACAGAAACTGAGTAGAAAAGGGAGGTAATGAACTCGCGCTACAGGTGTTTAAGTTTCTTCAATAGTGGAAAGTATGTACGATTGAGCAAACATGTGTCTTCCAGTTTATTAATACTATGTTTATTATGCTTTATGTGTATCATCTCAGAGATCAGCCTTTTATGGTAGTTAGATTCTCTGTATAAAATTTTTATATTGTCCCAATCAAACGTGTGATTATATTGTCTTTTAATAGTATCGAAATCTTGTAGTAGCTGTTTTTTGTATATGGTATACCTATTTTACCAGAAGGGATTGTAGGTGTTGAAACTTTTTTTTTTCGGATGTATTTTTGTTTGTCCAATCTACGTTTTATGTTTTTATTAATAAACTCTATGGGATAATCATTCTGTAATAGTAACTTTTTAACTTTTGTGATATTTGCTTTGTGAAAGTCTCTATTCGATAGTAATACAGTTTGATCTAATAAATTTAAAACTATGTTTTTTTAAGCCTGTTGGATGATCTGAAAAGTAATTTAGCATTCGAACGGAAGAGGTAGATTTTTGGAACCAATCAAATTTAAGATGGTCGTTTTTTTTAATAACGGTTAAATCTAAATAGTTGATTTTTCCATCTATCTATTTTATGTTTAAATTTTAACGAGTGATGATATGAATTGAAAATATTTAGTACAGAATCCAAATAATCTTCTTTCATACAGAGTATTACATCGTCGACATAGCGTAAGTAAAAAGCAGGACTGTGATTAAATTGTTCTTTTAATGAATTCAAACAATCACTTTCCAAATCATCCATTACAAGATCGGCAAATAAGGGAAAAATTGGAGAGCCTATGGGCGTACCGAAGATTTGTTTATAAGAATAATTATTTAATGAGAAGAAAGTATTGTCGAATAAAAATTGTGTACATTCTCTAATTTTTTCTATGGATATTTTTGAGTTCTGTTAGATGGTACAAGTTTTTCTGTCTATACTTTTGAGTACAAGGTCAACGGGGATATTAGTGAATAAAGAGCTGACGTCCAATGAAACTAATCGAAGTTTATGGCCAACTGAAATATTTTTTTATTTGTTTTTTAGTTCGAGGCTGCTGTTGACGGGAGAATTTGATGTTGCAATACAATTTTTTAATTCTTCATAAATTATTTTTGCGAGGAAATATGTAGGACTATTAATGAGAGAAACTATTGGACGTAATGGAATGTTTTTTTTTATGAATCTTCGGAAGCCCACAACACTTGGCTATTGTTGTGTTTTTAAGACACTTTTGACCTTCTTATACAGCTAGACTCTTTGAATAACAAAACATATTAAGTACATTTTTTATTTACTTCACTGTTAATCAAAAGGGTGAGTTTGCGGGAGCATCTTATTTTGGACCCTAATGAACAAAATTGTTAAAAACTGGTCAAAAGCAGCATGAGGAATAAAGTGCTACGGGAACCAGATTTTTTATCTAAATTCTTTTTTTTCTAGGGTTAACAGTAACATTATGATGAACAAATAAATCGATTTATGTACTCTATATGTAAGATGTAAGGAATTAGGAAAATGAGTGGTGCTTGAAAAACATTATAAGTCAACAAAGTCTTAAAATTTATTCCAATCTAGTAAAAATAGACATTAAAAATAATTATTTTAAAAGATATTTTCTAGATTATGATGTAATAAACATAGGCAAATAAATTGAATTTGTGATACACGTAGATAAAAATATCACTATTAACTAATTTTCTTGAGGTGTCAAATTGTACTCAACAAAAGGTTATTAATTCTGTACGTATACATTCAGCCTAATACTTTTTTTACACCAAGTTCTATTCAAAAATGAGACACTCACACATTACTTTAAAGCATACTGATGTGGTGACAACATCTATGTAAGTCGCTGTATTTTTGCCTCTGTGTTTTTATGATTGGTTGTATCATTAAAAAACTTTGAACTATACAGTTGCATCTTGAATAAGGCCCTTACTTATGCTGAGGTTGTCGAATCGTTGTACAAGTTGAATGTCAAGAACTGAATAGAGTGACAAGTGCAACTGAGTTTTACAATTTATACAAGTTCATACAAAAGTACGTTGAACTTTTTTTTATGGAACTCTACCATACAGTGACTTAGTTATCTCTTTTATTGTGTTACAAGAATGATAACTTAAATACATATATACTTGATGTAACAATCTAGTTATAAATAATTATGATTTGTTTTGTAAATTTTGTTTACTCTGAAATTATTACTTTAACCGCATTAATTACATTTTATGATATGTTTTGATATTAACTACATTATAATTAAAAATAGCTGGTAGACAGACTTCAGGAAGAGAAAAGATTGGAACAAATAAAGAGGAAAGAACGAAACGAAGCTTATTTATTCATGACAGTTAACGTTTTATTAGAAAATAGTTTTGATGGACATCAAGGAAATGATCTGTATGACCAAGAAAAAGCATTATATCGTACGTTCCGTGTACGCAAACAAGCAAGTTTACTGGAGTTTTTGGAGTTACTCAGTGAAAGCTTGGTAAGCCATTATTAAAAAAATAAAAATAATAAAAATATATNTTACTTCTTATTTTAATTTATTCAAATTCTTCTGTGTACCATATTAACTTAAATTAAATGTTAATAGAAGGTAACCTAAGATTTGCATAAGCTCAATTAATTTTTTCTTTATTGTTATTTAGTACAGTTCTGTACATAATCATTCATCCTTATATTTCAAGGTACATATAATACATAAGTACTAACAAAAAAATAGTGGAACTAATACAAATGAAAAAAATATTTTAAAAAATATTAGTTTTTTCGTACATGTGTGCTTCTAAATATTGCAAAGTTTTTTAAACATCAACGGTATTACGTATGCTTCGTAAATATTAACAAAACTTTGTCGAAAGGTCTAATAAAAAACAAAAGTTTTAGACATAACGAAACTTGATAAAAGGTTTTCACAATTTTGCAATTGATTTTGAATAATAATAATGATACATTAATTATATTTAGTTGAGAGTTAATATATATAATATATATGATAGTATTTTTTCTTGTTATACCTAAATAGTTTTATAATTGTCGTTATAATTTGAAAAATTTGATCCAATACAACCAGAAACAGAGAGGTTTAGGAAAAGAAGTTTCTTAAGGTAAACTTAGTATCTCAACGTGGTTATCACTATTTTTAGAAAGCCAGACCTTCAAAAAAAAAAAAATTATATGCAAATCTCGTAGGTTAAAATCTAAACTGTTATTCCTATTTGTTTTTTTACTTTTATGTTTTTGCTTTTTCGAGACACTATTTCTTTATGATTCCTTATTCCGATTTCCTTAAGATTTTATTATTTTCTACAGGATTTTGCTTGAATGCTAGTAAATTGATCGGACCCGTAAGAATTGGAGCAAAAATAAGGTGTTTTACACCATCTTTAAACAGTAAAAGATATTTTACCTTAATTTTAAAGATACTAATCGTTTTATTTCAAATAAAGATAGTATTTCTGCTAGACAATACTTTATTTGTAAGCCGTTGCTGCAAGTTTAATTCTAGGCCACTTTTCAATTCAAACTAAGACCTATACCAATGTTGTTTGGATAGAAATTTTTTTAATCTTAATGGAGCTCTCACTGGAGCTGTTTTAAACATTCTGTGTACAAGCTTAGTCAAAGACAAATTGGTTTTTTAAACTAACATACATGCTAATAAATTCAATCTATATTTAAAAATTTTTCTGTTGTTTGTGTGTTTTTGATAAATAAATAATTTTTGCTAGATTAAATAAACTTTAGATATCCCAGAAAATTTTCATAATTTTTATTAATTTTTTTCTTACAAAATTGTTAGTCATATAAAATTTATAAAAAAAATGCAAACACGAAAAAAAATTTATAGTTGATATCTCATTAACTAAAATAAATTGCTACAAGCGACACTATTATTTTATCTCTCTTTGTTACTTTTAATGCATTTAAGTAATTTTTGTTAATTAAAATATATACAAAAACATAACCCTCAATAACTTGTTACGTACTTTTATTTAACGCTATTATTTGTATTTATTTTGAAAACATTATTATAGGAACATGTTTTACCATGTATACTCTTTACCTCTGAAGGATTCGTTAATTACAAATATTTTCCTTAATCACTGAATCTTGCTCTTAAGGCTCAGCTTAGCAATATTTAGTAAGCTTAATAAACTTGATATTAAACATTTAAAAAAAATATCGTTAGAAGTAACAGGCTCAGCAGAAAATGGACTTGAGACGCGGTTCTTTGCAACAGAATCTTGCAAAGTTATATTTTTCACATGTTTTTTGTGACCACACTTGCTCCATAAATATATAGCATGCAAATTTTCATGAGAAGAATTAATATTAAAACCTGCCAAGGTATGTTGTTCTCTATAAAACTTCTCTTGTAAGAAACTTTTTTTGATGACTTTTTTGTCTTCCTACTGCATATCTTTAACCATAACATCGCTATCTTCTTTTTCTTTTTAACCTGCCAGTTTTGTTCATACTAATTTTACATTTACTTCTCTGGTAAAGTTTTCATTAACTAATTTTTGAGCTTCTCCACTCACTTGGATACTTTTTCCACTTCTTATTTTTTCTTGACTACATTTTCTCTGACTTTTTTTATTCTGTTTTTTATGACCTACTTGTAATTACCTTAATTATTGTTAATTCAGACTTCTTTAGCTTGGTGTTTTTGGTAGTATTTTAGCTTTTCGTCTCTGGCATCTTCTTTTGTTACGTGGTGGGATTCTTGAACCTCAAATGTCTTTTTAGCGATTTACCTTCAGTTATAATATTTCTTGACTTGCTGTTATGGTTTTAATTAATTAATTCCTATTTTGCTTATCTAATTATTAAAGTTTCACCTATCTTTAATTTTTCAAATAAAAGGTATGTCATCATGTAATCCTTTGATTGGCAAGTCCAGTTACCTGAATATAATTCAATTACGTCACCGTGTTTAATTGAACTGCTTAGCTCACTCGAAACTTATTGAAGAAAGTCTCGAGTAGAGAGCGTAAGCAGGATTACGATTTAATTAGTATTGTGGTATGAATGGTTATCCAAAGGGAAGCAATGATGAAATAAGAAGTCGGATGCGTATCTTAAATCAACAAACAACTATAGTTTTAGCAAAAGAATTCAACTACATTTATCCAAAAGAAATACGATTTACATTGCTTTAATATTGTCAAGTTGCGCGGAAGAGAGAACATTAATGTTTAAATACAACTAGAAAACGCTGATTTTCGATTTAAAGAGAAAGGAACTGTCTTGAATCTAAAACTAGGCTCACCAAGCCAAGGACGGGAAGAATTACATCCCAAGCAGCAAAAGTAGAGAGGCAGCACATAATTATTGAATAGCATGATTCTGCACGTGCTTCAAAAACTGTCCCGACTCAGCAGCAGAAAACAGGCTCTCCCGCAGGTGTTACTCGCACACCGGTCAGTAGGCGAAGAGAGCAAGCGCGGGGCCTCGTTGCGTTGAGAAGCCCGAGCGCTAGAGGAGCCGGGGCGGGGATACCCTCGTGAGAGCATCTGTGTTTGGACTGTGGAACTTGGAAATAGAAACTGTAGTAAGCAAACCACTACATTCGTAACACCCACAAGAGCTCCCCGCCGCCGCTCCACGGTAATAGCGCCACTGCTTGGGCTCACCGTCGGCTTGATGTTACAATCCTATTCTCACGTGACCATAGCCGCCCACCTTGACGCCGCTTGCGTCAAAAACGAGAGAAATCAACTCAAAAGAAGCAAACTCGTTTATAAGAAAAAAAAAAAAAAAAAAAAAAAAGGAAATTATCTAGATTTTAAGTAAACTTAATAGTTGAAAAGTCCTTTGGCAGGCAAAAATACTCAAGATAAGCTATCGCAAATAGAAATAATAGGTCAAATTTGAATCTTTAAATGTAAAACAAATATTCAAATGTTCAATCCAGAATGATTAAGGGAAGAGTTACGAATAACATCTAATTAGTAGAAAAAACTAACGGTCAGAATCATGAAAAAGTCATGCACTTAGTCACTAGCTTGGTTCTTAAAGTGATCTTGATAACAACGTTGAAGCTCCGATTCAGTGGGTAGTTTCACCAATTTGACCACTGGTCGCTTAAAGGTGGATGTGGCCGTCTTTACAGTTACTGCACGTACCAAATTGTCATCCTCTTTGTGAGTTATCGTCACCCGGCCCAATGGCCAATAGCTTGGTGGAATATTGTCCTCCTTTAAGAGAACGATGTCACCGACCTGTAAATTTGGCTGAGGCTTATGCCACTTGTTGCGAAGCTGCATGTAATGCAGCACCTCCTTTTTCCACCTGGCCCAAAAGGAGTCTCTGAGGTTAGTCAGTAGTCTCCAACGGCTGACTCTATATGACGAAGTTGGCTTCTCACAGTAGGGCTCAGGGTAGGCCAGTAGCGAAGAACCCACTAAAAAATGCGCTGGAGTCAGAGCAACAGTTGAAGCTTCGTCGGAAGTAGAAACTGTAGTAAGCAAACCACTACATTCGTAACACCCACAAGAGCTCCCCACCGCCGCTCCACGGGTGGAGGAATGTAATAGCGCCGCTGCTTGGGCTCACCGTCGGCTTGGTGTTATAATAATACTCTCACGTGACCACACCGTTCACTGTTGGATCAGGTAGTATTAATTATTGTAAACGTATTTGTTGGATTATCACCTTGCACTTATTGGTTATTTTATAGCAACTGGTTTATTCTATGGTGTGATCATTTAAAAGCAAAAGATTACTGTTTTTTATTTACTTTTAAAAAATTGGGTGATTTAATTCTCCTCAATAGGTATTTAGGATCAAATTTAAATAATTTCACTACTGTAAAAAATATTGTTACTGTAACGTGGAACATCTGAAATTTTCACTAAAAGCAACATGTGGAGACAGTACTTTAAGTTTTTTTTTATTTTTTTTTTTTTATTCTGTATTATCTTAATATCTTGGTTATGCAAAAATTTTGCATACATAAATTTTGTAAACATGTAAATAACTTGGATAAAATATTAATCCACCTATAGCTACCTTTTAAGCCTAATTTTCTCTAGATAACATGGTTCAACGTGCAATTTAATCGCTCATGTATGGGTGCGTTGAGATTACTTTAAGGGAAGTTATAATTGATTCTGTACTTTTGCATGAGACTTTATAAATTTGCGTTGTGAAAACTCCTTGGCACGATCTATTTATAAATTAGTTGGAATTCTCTCCTCTGTTAATAGTGACTTTACAACTGCAGTCATATCTTTATAAGTTTTATTTTTAAAGGACACCGTTCATTCAAACTTTAAAAATATATCCATAACTGTAAGTATATACTTATAACCTGTATTTTTACGAGCACACGGTACCATCTTCATGAGATCAGCTTGCCATGTTTCTGAGAATATATTATTCAAATTGCTCAACAGTAGACTTATTTTATTTTGTTCATCCAAAATGAAACTTTTTTGCTTCTGTAAAGTAGTGAGATTTACAGCATCGTAAGGTGGA